ATTGAAAAAACATCGGTGGCCGACGCAACAGCTGCCAGCTACAGCCCGGCGCGGTGCAAGCTCCGGCGACCAAGGCGAAAGCACAAAGGCAGCCACTCACAGGCGGTGCCCGGTCGAGAAGGAAGTAACACACCCGGCAGCGGCGCGGGTCGCCCGGGATGGACACTGCGCACAGCCCAGGCCCCGCGGCGGCCCTCAGGTTTCCCCGCGCTCGCTGTCGCCGGCAGGGCTAGCCTTGCCACTTCCAGCTCATCTCCCCGTCAAATGCCTTCTCCGCTCACCTCAAACGGCTCAGCAGAAGCTCTCGCCCTCCCGGGGGCCGAACCGCCCTGGGCCCTGAGGCCACCTGGTCAAGGGGACCCTCATTCCGCCATCTTCGCTCCTCCTCAAGGCAGCCAAACCGACGGCGGGCGGCTCCCTTAGGTCCCGCCTCCATCACTGACAATCAGTAGTGATTGGGTTTTGGCTTGCTGGCGCGTGCTTCTTTCATTCACGGATTGGCCAGTATGTACGTCAACCAATAATGTTGTCCACTCCTACGATTTTTTTGGTGGGGTAGGATTGGGTGGTTGGTTTGAGGAAATAGGGGAAATTGTTTTTGAGATTCATTTATTAGGAATGTAAAATTATTTCCGCCTAAGAGCACCATCACTTCTTGGTAAAAGTATGACCCAGGCTCTACGACTATTTTAAACCGCTGTTAAACTACGGTACTAATATGTCATTCTCAGGCCTGAGGACGTTTGATCCTTGGCCTCTAAGGAAACAATTTAATGGTTTCAGTTGATCTGACTTTGACCCATTTAGACCTTCAAGGGGCCTGAACCATTGGCCTGCTGTTGACAGTTGTGGTCAATACAGGAGGGCAGGATTTCTCACTTTTGAGGACCTTTTTGCTAAGCAATCAGATCAACTGCAGTATCTGGCAATTTTTTTGTTTTGTTTTATTTCCTACAGCCAGCTGTAGGTTCTGAGAACCTTCCTTCAGGGCTAGTTCCAGGAGAGGCAATGAAGATAATGTTGACAGACGGCATGGTGCCCAGTGGTTCCAGCTTATTGTCCCACTCAAAGAATTTGATGGAGACAATTGATGAATTTAACAGTTTAGCATTATTGAGGAAAATGAGAAAGAAGGAAAGAAGAAGAAAGAGAAAAAAGAAGATCCCGTATGTCCTGCACGCAGGACTGCCACTCAAGAACAAGGGGGAAGTGGCCAGGAGGCCCAGGAGCCCTGTCTTTTATATCTTCTTTAGGTGTCAGATCTGGGCCATCCTATGCAGGGCTTCAAAGCTGCTGTGGATTGTGATTTGACATCTCTTTGTCATGGACAGGTCATTCATTCCCAGTACCCCAGCCTGGTTTGCCATTCCCCAATCTCCTACCTCATTTTCCCCTGACAGACATAAACTCCCATAATTCTTATGGGGTTCTGAGGGAGTGGAGGTCTCTGTCTTCACAGTGCTACTTATTGCTGAAGAGCTCTCTGATTATCTTAGGATGTTATAGCTCACCAGCTAGGCTGTGGAAAACCTGTCACAAGACGATGATAAAGAAGTTAGTGTCTATATATTGAGACAGTTGAGCTGCCTGTTTAATGGATGAGAGCTTGGTGAATGAACCTGTCAGGAGCCTGTAGCAGCAAAGAAGGATATTAGCTATCAGTGTCTATTTATGATGACTTTACTTATATGTGCTCAGAGCAGAACTATAATCTTACTTTCTGAAGATGAGCCTGGAATCTTCCAGAGATTCACAGAAGTAGCTTCCTCCTTTTGGGTGTTTTTTTCTTCACACATTTCAGGTGGAGATGGCTTTATTCTAATGAGGTAGATCCAGTTATCTATCTCTGCCTCCTATACTTCAGTGGCTGTGCAAGGATCATTGAAAGAGGCCCTTCCACTTTGGTTTTAATTGGTCTACATGGGTCCCTTCTTTCCAAGTTTTTTGTTTGTTTGTTTTGTTTTTTGAGACAGGGTCTCACTATGTAGTTGACCTGGAACTCACTATGTAGCCCAGGCTGGTCTCAAACTCACAGCAATCCTCCTGCCTCAGCCTCCTAAGTGCTGGGATTACAGGCTTGTGCCACCATGCCCAGCTAAAAATATCAATTTTTTAACAGCCCTCTGTACTTCAAAATATTTTTTTGTCCTTCAATATTAACTATTGTAATACTACTGCTTTTGTATATTTTCCTTTGAGACAACAGTACTTTTTTTTTTTGTACCGTAAATCGAACTCAGGTCCTTGTGCTTGGGAGGCAGGTTCTGGAACCACTGAGCTAAATCCCCGGCCCAACAGTACTTTTAGTAGAGGTACAATTCTATTAATTAATTATTAATTAATTGTTGACTTTTTGTTTATGTATATGTATTTATTTCATTCCAGTTTATTTTAATTTTTACTTGTCAAGCAGTAGACATGATATATTTCAGCTTAAAGTTAAGTTATTATATGTGGACGTAAATATAGATTTGGTGTTTTGCAAAAAAAATAAAAATGTATAAAAGACAATGTGAAAAAGGAAGAAAAGGTCCAAAGGGAAGTAGAAGCAGGAGGGATACGGGAAAGGAAAGAAGGGAAAGAAATATGAGAAAAGGAAAAAATGGAAACAAGATCTTTGTAAATAGGGAAAGGTGGAGGGGTTGAAGAGAGGGCAGGGGAATGGAGAAAAAAATAAGAACCAAGATACATCATGTAGGGCTGGGGATTTAGCTCAGTGGTTCTGCCGCCCACCTCAAAAGTGCAAGGACCTGAGTTCGATCCCTGGTACAAAAAAAAAAAAAAAAAAAAAAA